AACACCAAATTTGGTGTCAAAGATTATCCAAACATTTTTATCACACGTTGTGCAAATTGGAAAAATCGGATAACAACCACGCTTACTTCCCATACAACACAACTTTAAATTCCATCTGATTCTTTCACTTTCCGGTATATAAATCAAACAAAAATAGTTATATCGGGATAAAATATTGCACAGATAGTCTTTTTAAGGTCTCAACTCTAAAAATTGTCAAAATCGGACCATAATTGTTCAATCCCCATGCACCGAATATGTATAGCCAAGGGCCTGTGCCTGACTTTTTACTGAAAATATCGGTTAAAATATACCATATATAGATATATAATTGAAATTTGGAGTTTCTTTCCTTCCTTTTTTGATAATAGTATGTCTGTATGTCAAAAATGGGTTCAATTCTGTCAAAACTTCCCTTAGCCCCATATACCTAGTATAAATACTTTCGAACTTCCGGCAGACTTCATACCGCATAGATCGGCCAATATGTGAGTGATCTTAAGAGGTTACACGGGTTTCGTCGGGTAAAAAAAGGCTTATTTTCAATGATTTTTTTCTATATAAAAAGTTATTTATTTAATTCAAACTTTTTTCTGTCTTAAAGATAAACATTTAAAGAATAAGTTCTGAGATTTTCAAAAAAACGAAATAAAAATTCTGCCATTGTAACGTCACTTCCGGTGACCTTTCAAAAAAAGGTGCGTCCGCGTTGTCAGCATAACTCCTGACAGGAACATTTAAAATGAAAAAAAAAAATAAATGTGTTTTAGTTAAGACCACAAACTCGTACTTGAATGAAGGAAAAAAATAAAAAATTAAAATTGGAACTTTTGGCAGACGTTTTTCCAAAAAAATGAAAATTTCGGTCAAATTTGCTCGACATTTCTTTTTTTTAAAAAGATGTAATTAAAAAAAAAACCATCCTTCGTCCATTTACGAGCAAATTGTGTCTCAAACACCTGTATAAAATTTCATCAAAATGAAGATAAAATTGGAATTTTGGCAGACCTCTTTCTAAAAAAATTAAAATTTCTGTCAAATTTGCTCGCCATTTCTTTTTTTTATACTCTCGCAACCTGTTGCTACAGAGTATAATAGTTTTGTTCACCTAACGGTTGTTTGTATCACCTAAAATTAATCGAGTTAGATATAGGGTTATATATATATAAATGATCAGGATGAAGAGACGAGTTGAAATCCGGGTGACTGTCTGTCCGCCCGTCCGTCTGTCCGTCCGTCCGTCTGTCCGTCCGTCCGTGCAAGCTCTAACTTGAGTAAAAATTGAGATATCTTTATGAAACTTGGTAGACATGTTTCATGGTACCGTGAGACGGTTGGTATTGCAGATGGGCGTAATCGGACCACTGCCACGCCCACAAAACGCCATTAATCAAAAACAAATAACTTGCCATAACTAAGCTCCGCAATAAGATACAAGACTGTTATTTGGTACACAGGATCACATTAGGGAGGGGCATCTGCAGTTAAAATTTTTTTTTAAAAAGTGGGCGTGGTCCCGCCTCTAATAGGTTTAATGTGCATATCTCCTAAACCGCTAATGCTATAATAACAAAATTCACTGGAAGCAAATGTTTTTAGCACTTCTATTGACGGTGTGAAAATAGTTGAAATCGGGTGTCAACTCCGCCCACTCCCCATATAACGGTACTGTTAAAAACTACTAAAAGCGCGATAAATCAAGCACTAAACACGCCAGAGACATTAAATTTTATCTCTGAGATGGTATAAGATGACTTTATAGGAACCGCGTTCAAAATTAGATAGTGGGCGTGGCACAGCCCACTTTTAGGTGAAAACCCATATCTTGAGATCTGCTCAACCGATTTCAACCAAATTCGGTGCATAACGTTCTTTTCATGTTTCTATGTCATAGTGCGAAAATGGGCGAAATCGGATTACAACCGCGCTTACTTCCCATGTAACACCATTTTCAATTCCATCTGATTCTTTCACTTTCCACTATGCAAATCAGGTAACAATGATTATATCGGGGTAAAACTTTGCGTAAATAATGCAATTAAAGTATGCCACCTTGCGGCCAAAAATTGTCTAAATCGAACCAAAACTGTTCAAACCCCTAAGTACTAAATATGTGAACCCCAGTGCCTATAGTTGACCTTCTACTGAAAATATCAGTCAATCCACAAAGAAATCTCAAACAAGTATACCAATTGACTTTGCGAGAGTATAAAATGTTCGGTTACATCCGAACTTAGCCCTTCCTTACTTGTTTAATAGTTGTAATTGAAAAAAAAATATCCTTCGTCCATTTACGAGCAAATTGTATCTCAAACACCTGTATAAAATTTCATCAAGATCGGTTGAGTAGTTCGCGAGAAATCTTGACAACCGACTTTGAAAACACAGTTTTGAGAAAAACGTGTTTAAAGTTTTAAGTAGCCATATAGCTGACCTCGAGCACGCAACTTTATCTCCAAAACTATTACTGATATCAACTTGAGAAATTGGGACAATATTCTAGAGATATTATAGAATTAAATAAGACAATAAAAAAAATTTTTTTTTTGAAGCCGCGAAACCTATGTAACACCTTAAGGGGGTATTCTGGTTTAGAAGCCGAAAAACAAAAAATATTTTGTCCATTTGATATTTTTGATATTTAAAGAGTACATATCAATTATAGTATTAAAAAAAATGTGGAAAACGGTTGGCCTCAAGGGCCATCCCTGCAACTTCCCTCTAATTTCATACACTAACGTTCAAATTTCGCTTTTTTCACTGCTTTTGAGCTCTTAGAAATTTTTCGTTTTCGATATCTAGCAAGTAAATCAACCGATTTCGACCCGGTTTGCGGCAAAGGATGTGTTTCTTCAAGGTTTAGAACTGATTAGTTTTTGGTGTCGATCGGTCAAGTCGTTTGGTCGTCGATTTTTCAAAATTTTTATTTTTGAGATTTCTCGAAATCTACTGGTCCGATTGGGTCCAAACTTACACGAAATTCAAGTGCAATGAAACCCTTTGGAATGCCGTTTAGTTTATTCAAATCGGTTGAGCAGTTTAATAGTTATAAGAGGGTCACATACATCCACACACACACACATACATCCACACATACATACAGACATACGGACATCATCGTAGAAATGTTCGGGGAAGCTTTCTTGACCCTCAGAACGTCGAGATCTGTTGAGAACTCGATTTTTGCAAAATGGGGTGAAACCAATATCTTCCCGATTTTTAGAAAATTTTCCATTTTCTTAGCGGGAAGTTAAAAAAGAAAATTTCCAAAAAATTCCAGGCCGGCAAAATGGAGACTAATGAAAAAATGGAGTGTCCTGGTGTGTAGGATATCAGGACTCCCAGTAACCCGAAATGGAAATTGTTAATAATAATGCACTACGAGAGGATAATGGAAAAAAATTGCACAAATTGGCAGCTGTTTGAAAAATATGTTTCGTTATTTCCTTGTTTTTTTTTTGAATTTTTTAAAAATAAAAAAAAAAAAAATTCCAAAAATCCTCTCGTAGGGCGATAGTATAATGTATAAAAAAGCTCTGTATAGATTTCAAGTAAATCGATTAAGTAGAACTTGAGTTATCATGCACACCGTTTCTAAAAAAAAGCAGTTCAGAGAAAAACGACTTTAAAGCTCGCACCGAGCTGCCAGTCGACTTGGTTGGCGCATCACAAAATGAGCTGTAACTCCGAAAATAATTGAAATTTGGAAAAATCTTTTTGGGACATTCTTAAAGGGTTATACTACAAGTATATGATATTTTTAAATTTATAATCCAGAATACCCCGTGCTTTTCTAATAACGGTGCATCTTTGTGCCTATGGATAAAGTCGGGTTAAAACTTGTCCTAGCCCCCATATAACTAATATCAGGATATTCAAAGATCAGGTTGACTTCATTCCTTATATATTGGTGATGGTATGTGAAGTACCTTAATGAAACTCAGAGAACTTCTTTCTGTGTTAATAATATGTAGTAATGCCAAAAATATATAAAAAGAATAGAGAATTTAAATTTTAACAGACGTCAAAATAATAAAGCATGGTTTTTCTAACTTTTTATGTTTTTTACAAAAAATAATATATTTTAAATAATACTTTACTGATTTTAAACTCATACTATGAAGAAAGTAACTGCCAGTTTTCCAAGCGATTGTTTGAAAACTTTTCAAACTACCGTGTACGCAAATTTAAAAACCGTAGTACGCAAATAAAAAAAAAACGTTTGAAAAACTCTTTCGTTCGGGTTTGAAGGAAAGCTACTCTCTTTAATGGCATATAACAATAGAACAAGTCGGAATTTTCATTTAAAATTTTGTAAACATATTTATCAATAGTTTTACCAATAACATATGAAATAAAAATATCAGTTTTATGAGCGTTGTTTTATGCGTGATAATTATTACACGTACTCCAGTCCGAACTCCGCAACTATCTACCTCTTGAAGAAAGGAAGTAATTTATTCTAATTGGTTATTCGTTGTTTTTGCGATTGCATGTATTTCAGAATTCACCGTCTTACCTTTTTTTAATTCTATTGTAGCCATATATCAGATAATAACGAGGTACTAGGCCACTTTTTGTTAAGTATTCATTAATGGGATTTTAAAAATTACGAAAACTGTTGTTGTACAGTATAATATTAAAAAATATTATTGGTAATTGAAAGCGGATAGAATCACATTTATTATCATTGTTTGAATGACTTAAAGCTATGCACGAGTACGTTTGCTTTTACAATATTTACAGTGTTGAATAGTAATGCATTTATAAATAAAAATATACACTTAGATTTTAGAAAACTGTTGTATACTATTTATACACATTTGTATTCATTCTGACTTTCATTAAATTCAACACATATGTACTACAAGTATGCACATGCAACTACATAGACACATGCTCTTGCTGGCAAGGCGTTTCCTTCCAAACGACGCTCAAATTAAATGAGTGTTGTAATACTTGTATAAGTGTTTTTTTATTTTTTCCATTCCACTGTTTAGGCATTCGCATGGTTCAGTGACCTGTTGGTGGAGCATGCAGAAATCTTCTGGTCGCTATTTGCTGTGGACATGGATAGGGTACTCACCGAGCAGCCACCAGATACGTGGGACTCATTTCCCCTATTTCAAATACTTAATGACTATTTGCGTGCAGACGGTAAGCATACTTTTTTAAATATCAATGTAGTTTTAACGAGTATTATATTAATTTATGATTATTTATTAAAATAATGTGTAATTAGTTCTCCGCAGGGTAGTCAGTGTAATTCAAAGCCCATAACTTAACTAAGCCTGATAACAAGAAACATTTTCTATCAAGTTGGACTATTATTATATTTTTTCGATTTTTGACTCTTAACAAACTAAAAAAAAAAATATATTTATACATAACTAGCTGACCTGGCAAGCGTTATTTTTAGAAAATATTTTTAAAAACACTAACACTAGATATAAGTGTGTGGGGGATGTAATTATAATTGAAAGAGGAATGAAGAGTTGTACACAATTAAAGTAAACTTTATTAAAGCTAATAAATTATTATTTAATAAAGTAACAAATAGTTATGCGTTAAATTGCATTTATTGTTAGCTATCTAAACATCAAAAGTAATCAATATTTCATATTTCTACTACTAACTATGGCAACTAAAAATAAACAAAGATTATTTTATCTAGGCAATGAAGTGCACAATATTTTTAGTCAGTCAGTCTTTACGAAATGGTTTGCCCTTGCGAGAACATGCCACCTACAGTTGCCCGTTGGAAAGCGATTGCAAATCTAATTGGAAATTGAGAGTATTTGAATTCAATTGGCATTTAAATTTTGGCTTCGATAATGTCTTCATTAATTTTTATACTCTCGCAACATGTTGTTACAGAGTATAGTGGTTTTGTTCACCTAACAGTTGTTTGTTTTACCTAAAACTATTCGAGTTAGATATAGCGTTATATATATATAAATGATCATAATGAAGAGACGAGTTGAAATGTGGCTGACTGTCTGTTCGTCTGTCCGTCCGTCCGTCTGTCTGTGAAAGCTGTAACTTCAGAAGAAATTGATATATCTTTGTGAAACATCGTACACATGTTTTTGGTACCGTAAGACGGTTGGTATAGCAGAAGGGCGTAATCGGACCACTGCTACGCCCACAAAACGCCCTTAATCAAAAACAAATAAATTGCCATAACTATGCTTCACAATAAGATACAAGACTGTTATTTGGTATACAGGATCAAATTAGGAAGGGGCATCTGCAGTTAACATTTTTTTTTTAAAGTGGCCGTGGTCCCGCCCCCTAAAAATTGTCTAAATCGAACTAAAACTGTTCAAGCCCCTAGGTACCGAATATGTGGACCTCAGAACAAATAGTTGAATTTTTACCGAAAATATCGGTAAGATATTTTTTTTTGAAACTCATATAATAAAATAAATAAATAAAACTCTCGATAATAGTATCTCCTTGTGTCAAAAATGGTTTGAACCGGATCAATACTTTCTTTAATATAAAATTTACTAATCGTGTGCTATTGCAAAGTCGTAGTGGGTTCAAATTATGACGAAAAATAATTGAAGACCCTACGAATTCAAAAAGTCAATTGGGTAATTCACAGTTTCCTTGGCCTCGATAGATTTGTATGACACCAAGTCCCATGGCAACAACTGTTATATTACTTGAATTTAATCCATTGACGTTCACATTTTTTGTTGCAAAAATCACTCTTCCTGCCAGTCATCCAAGATTTTTATATTTTGTGTGTACACTGGGAAATATATTGTCGATGAGAGTATTTGTGAGTTGATGATGGCGCAGAAATCAGTTGGCAATTTGATGCAACCAGTATTTCCACGTTTAGCAACTATTCTTTTGACAATATTTAACAGTTGTTTTGAGAAAGTTTCGACAGATGGATCTTGAAGCGTACTAATGCGCATGATCGCTGTCAGTTGTACTTTTTCAACATTACGTTACAGTCGCGATAGTTTTAAGCAAGCGTTAATATTATTAGCGTACGTTGTTCTTGTTTGAAATCACCTGAAAAGAGTAACAGAGTGCCGCAAAATTGTATACATCACTTAGTAGTGGAAGTTGCGAGTAATAGTTGCTGAGTCGTCAGTATCATACTGCGCTTCACGATTTATATCTGTGTTGATTAAATCAAATGCACTCCGATTTGGTGAACTCATACCGAAATGGCTGATTGGTAAATTCGCAATGTCATTGCATCACTGAGTGATATCGTTAGATCGTTGCATTTTGTACGATGTCGATACATATATAATATCATCAGTCATTGAACTTTTATGATTATCTCACAACATTTGTGCTCTGATCGGGAAACATGTCAACAGTACTAAATACTTGTAGTAAATAAATTTGTGTTTCTGTGCAATTTAATTGTCGCATGTCTACGATATCGATATCTTTACCACTAATAAATACTGTTAAATTTACTATAAGAATAAAATTAACTAGAGAGTTGCACAGAAAATTTAAAATGATACGCATAACAGTCACTACTACGATCGAGACACAAATGAGATCAAATAAAAAACTGGGCCAAAATTGTATAGAGAGTGAGAAAAAGAAAACTAGCTTCGTTTTCATCCCCACTCCTTATTGTTTGCTGGTTCAGAAGTGACAACGGGAGACACCTGGCGGGGATAACTGATTTATTGATAGAACTATACATGAAAATTGTAGTATACTACAATTATTATACTCGATTCGTATCTTGTGGATCTGTGGATGGAACGAAATAATATAAAAATCAGGGGTTAATCGTATAAGTGTGAAAATGTGAAAATATATGTCTTTTTCAATGCTGAATCATGTGAAAATAAAAACATTTTGTCTAGCCAACACCCTTAACATTTAGGAGTATAAAAAGTAGATTCCTTGATCAGCGCCCCGTGAATGCTAGGGATTACAGTACAAAGGTAGGTATTAGGTTCCAGGTTAATCTATAAACACTACCGTAGTTTTGGATCGTCAACCAGTTGCAATACAACTCTACATAGAACTGACACAAGGTCAACTCTTCGGGCATTGGGTATTAGTATTAAGCCACAATCATAGAATGGTCGTTTCGCATGAACAATTTGTAGCGAATTCCAAGGGCTGTTGCTATCAGAGATATCAGAATTAAGATTTCGGTCAGACCTCATAGCCGTTAGTCCATACTTACATTTCACACACACATCATTCACCCAAAAAACTCACGTATAAACAAACCAAACAACCCTAACTGGGTCCGAATATTCTTCGTCGTATCGTCTATATATCCTTGATAAAGCTGAAATTCAACTTCACATCATTCCACACATATATGTATACACGTCATTGCTGCATTGAACTCGCAACCTTCGAGTAAGGGTTTTGAGGACATACATTGTCTATTTGAATTAAAATATGGTTATTCCTCCATCACTCAGTACTTAATAATTAGTACTGTAATTATTACATACCTTCGAGTGCAACGTCCTGAGCTTTCCTTCTTACCACCACCGACTAGGTCTCAACCGGCTTTAACAACACCGGCGTTATTGCCTCGAGCAGAGGTGCTGGAAGAGCAGGCATCCGATACAGATGGCATTGATCTGTTCGGCGGAGAAGAACCCCACAACCCCCTCCAAGGCCGTTCATTTCCCCACGAACTTGGTCATTCTCGGTTATAACAGTCCTAAGGAACGTCTCGTACTTCGCTCTATTAGCATTTTCGCAGACGGAACAACGAATTCGTGAAGCCCAAATGCCAAGGAGCTAAGCTGCCCCGTTTTTACGGCGGCAACATAGCTAATCGCGCCCCATACACCGCTATCGTCTACTATGGCGAACTTCCATATTTACAACAATAATTGTAAGAGAAAGATTAGCAGTAGGACAATTAAGTGTAATATGTGATCTGGAATATGTGATTTCTTTAGTGTTTATGGTGTGTAGTGTTGTTGGGTGACGTTAAATTGCTTACAGTGGCCGGTGTAAAAATCTGACAAAAGGTAGAAAATGTAAGATGAAGTTGATGAAATTGGCAGTGGTTAATTTTCAGCCCTAAAAAACCTTTCAATTCTATTTATCCTTTCAATTCAATCTATTATGTAATTTCATTGGTTTTTGCAAAGAAGAATCTCAATATTATTGTAACTTCCTTATTTAGTAAAAAGATTTTTGTTTAACATATTCGTGATAAATTCGGCCAGACGGGCCCGAATTTAGTTCTTACTTACTTATATTCAAAATACATACAAGCAATTGTATACATGAATGAATTATATGTAGACAATTTGCGGAACGGGCGCTTTCATCAGCACTTGCGTGACACGTTTGCACCACTAGTTGTACGCTACGTCGATCTCATGGAGTCATCAATCGCTCAATCAATACACAAGGGCTTCGAAAAGGAACGCTGGGATAGTAAAGGGTAAGTGTGTACCAAAAACTCTAACTAATTTCTCATTTCTACCCTCGCGATTATTTATAAGAAATATGAAATCTAAATGTAGCAAATATAAAGAATATAGCCTCAACCATATATGTGTGCAGCTTTATTTACTTAAAATTACCATAATTTAATTACTGAAGGTATAAAACAAATAATTCAATAGTTATGATTTCGCTGTCTTCGAAAAGTTTGATGTACTGTAGTTGTCTGTACAGTACTCTCATTAGGTGCTCTTAAAAGATATCACAAATAACTTTTTACATATTTAAATATATATATTTTTATACTTTTCCGATTTTTTTTTTAATATTTTTAATTTATTATGCGGGACAAATAGAATATACCTTCATCGATTGAAATTTCGAGTCCCGTACTAAGTATCAAGTATTGGATTGTATCTTTTCTCATTAAAATACTAAATCTTTTTAACAATTTTATATGGGAAAGACTGCTAAATTAATTAGCTACGTTAATACTATAACTTTAGTAAAATATTAAATCATTTAGAAAGTATACGTACGCATAAATATGGATTTTATATTCTGACAAACTTTCAGCTATCTTTCGCTATCCCATTTCTCATTATATTGCATATTTTTCCTAATAACGATTACCTCTTATTTGGAATAGACGTGAAGGGTTCTGTTGATGAGCGTAAACATTTTTAAACAGAAGAAACATAATTAAAAATTATAATCGTACATTTATGTAGAATATAAAAATGTTATAGAATTCATGAGTTTTACTATTTGTCGTATTTCTTTAAACCTAATTAAAAGGGCACAGTTGTAAGGTGATACGTGTGACTAACGATAATAATAATAATAACCCAAAGATTACACTCCACCCGCTCGACCGCCGCGAGGGGCGCAATCCGAATTGTGCGGAATTAGAAGAGTCATGAAAGGCAAGAGAGCTACAGAAACAAAAATTTCAACAGCTAAGATTTAAAATTACGTTATATAAATTGTTACGATTTTTTTTATTAAGAGATCAATCAAAAATGCAGGAATGAGAATTAAAATCATGACACATGCGACGGAATGGTTCGTCTAGTTCAAAATTCGATCTACTAGATTTTAACAGTAAAGGTCTAAACTGCTTCGAAAAGCGAACGGGGATATTAAATTAATTTCATTCAAGAACTGTAAACTGTTCCATTCAGGATTTTACTAAGAATATTATGCCAAGCATTTCCCTACGACTGTAAGTGTTTATAAGTTTTAAACGACTTACACCATAGGTACACTAGTCTAGGTAGTCTTAACCTAGAATCCCATCGGAAATGCCCTAAGGCGATGACTACAGATTTACACGGTTAGATAAAAATAAATTGAGATTTGCTCCGCGACCTAAGCTCTATTGTGTCCTCCTCTCTGTCACAACGAATCACATAGGCCCAGCACACTGATCAATTCCAGTATCTTGTTGGGTGCGGTTGAGGCGATGTGATCTATGCCTGCGTCTACAGACAGTCTAGTATCAAGAGATCGGGAGTTTCTGGCTCCATGTCGCAGAAAGTAGCATTTGCACCGGATGAAGGTCCGATTTTGCAAAATTTCTAATCTGCATTAAAAACTTGACACGTAAGTGTTTTGTACCGAAGATTTTTTAATTTTTATTTACCATACATATAGTTCGAACCAAAATTTCCGCAATCAAGAATAAGTTTCTTAAGCGTTTAGAGTGAACATTTCTATTTCAATACAAGCGCACGAAATATAGATCAAGTGGTTTGAGGATTATTGCAGTGAATAACTAATAGTCCGAAAACGGTTGGTACATCGAGCTCTATAGTAGTTCACGCTCATGGTCTTTTCATAAAAGCTCCTGCCGTTTTTATCATCGTGAAAAACGTTACGAAACATGAGGTAGTCAAAAGTTCATTCACATTCGTTTTATAATATTTATGTACCAAAACATATTTTAACATTTTAAGTAAAATTTTATGTTTTTATATTTTATTCATATTTAGTTTTCTTTTAAATTAAGCTATTCTAATAATTTTAATATTTTGTTAAGCTTTTGTACTACTCTTCATTATTGCTTATTTATTCATTCAATGTGTATATACATATGCACATATTTATGTACCCTCTTGCAACAGATTCGAAGCTGAAACCCTAGTAGTACAAAATTTTAGTTATTTCACGATAACACGGCCAGTATGCCGCAGGAAATTTTGCTAGTCTTTCACGTATTCAACTGAAATTTGTATCATACCATAACTGAACTCGGTATCTCCGGATACATAATCAATGAATTTTAACAATTTTCCTTGTTCCAAAAAATGTAAAAAATTTAAAATTGTTTTCATTACTTTAAGTGTGTCATCGTTTTCCATAAGAGCAATTGATTGCCATTTTCATGAACCACTTGTTTGAAGTTCTCAAAAATCATGAGTGTAACATTTTCTTATTCCGAATTTGATTATTTCATCCACACGTCAAAATGGTAGGTCACATTTATGCCAAAATGAAGGAATCGTCTCCGTTTATAAAGATTGCGGGGCGTAATTTACTCTTAGCTTATACATGTATGTATGTATGAAATTATTTTATAACTTTGGTGTTTGTAAATCACAGTAAAAATTAATTGAATAAAGCTTGTTTTCACTGTCTACTTTTATCTCAATTTTTTAATGTGTTTTCTCTTCTTCTCTCCCTATTTCTCTTTTCCTTCTTTTAATACTTTAACTTAATTCTTTGGTATTTGTATTTGCCCTTTCAATATGACTTAAATATTTGTTCTCACATCATTTATGGTAATCGACAACTAAAAACGACGTATTATATAGGATTAATGCAGCTTTAAATCCAGCGACATTAAATAACGCGGCCCAGGCTTTAAATACCGCAGCCCTTAATCCGGCGGCGCTACTTGGGAGCAAAAAAGATCAGGTCAATTTCTATATACCAAAGCTACCAAGGCGTTCTGTTAATGCTAACGAAGATACGAGGTTTTTACTTATTTAATAATAAATAATAAAATCAAATAAAAAATACACAATCAATAAATATTAGCGTATATACATATATCGAAACTTTCTAGTAAATTTTAAATAAGTATTCCTGTATTGCTTTTCATGATTTTCATTAGTGAGCATACAGTATGTAGATAATGCAACACATGTATGTCGTATTTGTTTTGTAATCGTTGCAAAACCGTACCAGGAAATAAAGAACAGAACAAATAACAAAATCAATTTTCAGAAAAAGATATGGATTTTCTTTTAATATTACAACAGAAAAATATTATGCAAATACATTATAAGCAAACAAATATATTCATAAACAATGTGTTTCGTAAACTCATGGGTTGATGATTTTTAATCGAGAATTAAATGATATGCTATATGCAAAAAAAAATTATTTTCTTTCTACATGGTATATTGCATTATTTCGAAAACTTATGAGCTGTTATTTAAAATTTTTCTTCTGGGCTCATTTATAATTGTCTAAGAGTACAAAAAATACGGTTACACATACATATGCAATGCAAAAAACAGTTAAATATAGTTGAGTTTATATTATTATAAGCCATTTCATTTAAAGACTGTTACGTTTTGTTTATTAAAAGTCATCTTAGGTACATATGTACATACATGTCTGCATATGGAAATATATTTAAATATATGTGAATTTTGGAACGAACTTAAACTTTTGATGTTTACTACGGCTACTCGTACCGCGATAATATCTTAATAATTGTCCATCGTATAATTTAAGAGCTTATCTGCTAAGCGATATTCAAAAATGTAGCTATTACTTTTCCCCAAGATAACAATAAATACGATATATATAAATCAACTATTATAGCATATATTTCAACAAAATTCTCAGCAAATTTGCAGTTAATGCTTGCTTATTATTATTTTTTAATTTGAAATCGATTTCAAAACTGATAGTACCTATGTTGTTATAAATATCCATATTTCAATATCCTACTATCGCTTATATTAATGGAAATATTACCATGGCGCCAGTGTGGTAGTCACTAGGCAACCGTATAGCAACATTTATATTATTCATGGCAACTTGCTCTTGCTCAGAAATTCTTTTAAAGAAAATGTGTAAACTTTAATTTTTATTTATTTAGGCACTTTCCAATAGAATAATGTACCAAAATTGTTTTATAAATACTCCATGAAAATTAATTTTTCTCATTTCGTAGCTTTGAATCGTATTAATATACATACTAACATGATTAAACTAGTATTTTTAATTGTAGCAATTGCCCTTAAAAATGTAGTACTTCTTAATTCAGCATAGCGTAGGTATGCCTTTTTGACTGATAAAGTAATTATTAACGATATTTTTTTATTTTTATATCTAAGCTCTTATTTTAAATATAATTCACATAAATAACATGCAAGGAAGCGTTAAGTTCTGGTGTAACTTAACATTTTATACCATTGAAAATTGTAAGGATGAAATCCCGAAAGCACGTTCAGGTGATGGCAAAACTTTCTATTAAATAAGTAAGAAAGAGCTAAGTTCAAGCGCAACATTTCGTAATAATTTAATATTCATTTTTCGACGAATTACAATCATTGCTATCTTATTAATTTATATTATAGGTCATAGACACTTTTAATACAAATGAGATAAATTCAACCAGAGCATTGATTCATTAAAATACATTTTAACTAACATAAACCGTTTAACGTCAGGTGGAAGCCAGAAATCAGTATATTGGATATTTTGGGTCAAGGGAAAGGGCTGGATTGATTGCATTAACTTTTGATCATGGAGCAATTTCACACATATTCAGCAATAAACTATAGAATATCCAATATTATACGTTCCGTGATTTAGATAAGATAACTTGCAATTTGACCTATGGTGGCTACCGGAAATATTACCCGCTTTTACCTATTTTGGACCGAAAGGCACATAGGTTTGATTTATATAATATATTGTAAAGCGAAAATCATATGGATTTAAAAATTCTGATATATGGAAGTAGGTGATTTTTTT